CCCCAAAACCCCAAAACCCCAAAACCCCAAAACCCCTTTTAATATTAAAATTATTGAATTCAATGCTTTCAAAGATATTATCAAGGAATTTCTCCACTTCTCTTAAGAAAGACATCGGCTTCGTGGGTATCGGAAATATGGGCTACCCCATGGTTCTGAGCCTCATGAAGCATGGCCACAGAGTCACTGTCTTTGATGTGAATCAACAGAAACTACAAGAAGCTGAAGCCGAAGGAGCCACCGTTGCACCTGATGTTGCAGAGCTCGCTAAAGACAAAGACGCTTGCATCTCAATTCTGCCCACTCCTAAAATCGTCAGAGAGACCCTTGCTGGCAAAGAGGGCATCTTCGAGAATGCTAGAGAAGGCACACTGGTCGTGGATTCAAGCACCATCGGACCTGATGAAGCCATCTACTTGAGCAAGCAAGCTGACAAACACAGAGTCAGGTTTGCTGACGTCCCTGTATCTGGAGGCTACATGGGTGCCAAGAATGGAACCCTCACCTGTATCATCGGAGCCAAGCAACAAGACTACCAGGAAGTTGAAGAGTTGTTCTCTCCAATGGGGTCATCTTTCTTCCACTGAGGCCCACCTGGGACTGGCCAAGCAGCCAAGGTTTGCAACAACATGGCTTTCGGAACTAACATGATCACTCTGTGTGAATCTCTGGCACTTGGTAAGTCTTTGACTGGCTAGGCTTGACACATTTAGGAGACAAGCTTGGAATCGACTTGAAAGTGCTGGCTCAGATCATGTCCAAGAGCACAGGAGGCAGTTTCGCATCAAGCACTTACACTCCAGTAGATGGAGTCAGTCCGACACTTCCGGCTTCGAACAACTTTGATCACGGGTTTGCAAACGAACTTATGATCAAAGACATTGGATTGGCTCTGGCTGAGGCTTCAGAAAGAAACCTTGACTTGCAATTTGCAAAGAAGTCGACTCAGTATTTCCAGGCACTGATTGACAAAGGTAGGCCCACATTTGCAATTTTGTACAAGAATAATGTAATGTGAAATAGGGTTGGGGAAGAAAGACATTGGGATCATGATCAAACATATTTCCAGCTTAAAAGAAACTGATGAATAAATGCTTCATAATGGATCTATCCTATTCCTATAAGTATTTGTAACCACCATTTTCAATATTTTACTTCCCAAAAGGGGTTTTGGGGTTTTGGGGTTTTGGGGTTTTGGGGTTTTGGGGTTTTGGGG